GCGACTGTAACACAGAAAACGCGGTTTAAACTGTCATCGGAGTTCGCGGCCGCCGCCATGTTTCAATGTTGTTGACAGACGACAGGGCAAACGATGCACGCGCTCAAGTTGAATATCGCGAGAGTTTTGTTTGGTTGTTTGTTTGTTTGTTTATTGAACATAAAACATATACAGTAATAATTTGACAGAAAATAAGGTAAATAAAATAGTAAAGAGGAAAGAGAAATTGGTCATCATTCAACAGTTATGTTCAAGGGAGTAGGAAGAAGTAAAGAGCTTATCTAGTCCTACCCCGTGTTATATGTTTATATCTATTGAATCATTTTTATATCAATCAGAAAAGAAACAAAGTAAGAAGAAAGAAGTCTCCATTAAGGCTCATACTTTACCCTTAACCGTGATATTTTTATACTTTTGGTTTGTATCGGGAATTTATACATACACACCCTGGCACTCTTGTGTTAATTTTCTCTTGTATTCATAATGGATATTTCAATACCTTTCTCTATTTATCAACCTAGTTCTGATTCATTATATTGAATGTTTAGAATTTATCATTTTAACTCTGATTGTTGTAGGTAGTTTGTACTATTTTTTTGAATTTGTTTTTGAACTCAGCAAGCGATTTACTCATTTTCAGGTCCGTTTCGAAATTGTTCCACAGATTAACACCTTTGTTTGCACCGATTTAAACCCTCAACACAAAAATGTAGAGGGTTGTTTGAAAAAAATGCTGACCGTAAAGTTTTTTTTCGACGTAGAAATTCTCGGTCGGTCGGGTTACCGGAAACACACTACTTTTTTTCTACGCCTTACGTGCAGCAGCTCGATTTCCTTCTTTAACTGCCAGAGTGATCGCTTTTAGTTTAAAAGCTGCATCATCTGCTTTTCGTCTGGTATTCTCCATGTTGATCAGGGTTAGAAGAAAGACTGAAATAAGGAAGTTGCGATTACCGGTAATCATACAATTTCATTGGACCCCTGTATACTACTCATTCATTTTATTGGTCGACTGTTGCCGAGTCACACATTTTTCCCCCCCCGCTACGGCAAAAAGAGCGGAAGTTGTGATTAGTCATAAAATCTCATTGGACCTCAGTGAAAGACTCATTCATTTTATTGGTCCATGTTTGTCCCGCGATGGAAAAAAAAAAAATTAAAAAGCCGCTTCATATTACACGCCGCAGTGTTGGAAGTGTGGAACAAAAGTAGCGGCTTGTAATCCGGAATTTACGGTATATATTTTTTAATATCTGCAACAATCAGGTTTATGGGCATAGTGAATTAGTTCAGTGATTTCCATAACATTTTGCAGCTCAGTTACATAAACTCCCGCTGTGTTTTTGTTTTCAATGTGTTAGTTCGAGGCGTAAAATGTGAATTTTGACTCATAAATTACAATGCCAATCCGCTTATTTCGAGCCATGATGTCGAATTCCGCCCATGTCACACTGAACCAAACTCTTAAAGCTTGTAACGGAAAACAGTTGTAATGGGTGGTCTCTCCTTGTTTATAAATATTATTAGGTCCACAGCTGTGCTCTTCTTTCAAAGAAGCCACATCGTGTTGTCTTTACTGTATGCCTTGGGTAATTGCCATCTATGTCAAAATTCTTCAAATACACATTTCAAACGGACTACCGCAGGTAAGTTGCGAAAATTGAAACGCTGTCTCATCCACAGGTTAATGTCGAAACAGAGTACTGCATATCTCATTTCTTCGCCTCTCTTCTGTGAAACAGGAATCTCGTGAGGTGAACCGCGAACTCCAGCTCCATTTGGAAACGGTTCTACAACAAGCCCAGGATCCAAAAAGCAAAGGCAATTCTCTTTTCGCAGAGGTAAAAGACAAACATTTTTTGTTTTTGTAGAAATTCTCTGATGACTGACTTCAAAGAATCAATCATTTGTCCATCCCTCCATTTTCTGATCCACTTATCCTGACAAGGGTCGCGGGGGGTGCTGGAGCCTATCCACGCTGTCTTCGGGCAGTAGGCGGGGGACACCCTGAACCGGTTGCCAGCCAATTGCAGGGCACACAGAGACGAACAAATGTTCACACTTAAAATCACACCTAGGGACAATTTTGAGTGTTCAATCAGCCTGCCATGCATGTTTTTGGAATGTGGAAGGAAACCGGAGTACCCGGCGAAAACCCACGCAAGCACGGGGAGAGCATGCAAACTCCTGCACCTCTGTGCTGTGAGGCAGACGTGCTCACCAGTCGATTTACCCAAATGTCACAAATTGTTAGAATGATTTTTTATAATAATTAATAATAATTTAATGAGAAGTTTGGAAAGAAGGGTCTGAAAAAATTGAATTTTTAAATTTCAAATTTATTGGAACCTTGCTCATGGCATATAGTGAATTTTGGATTTTATGCTGAACTAATGACGTGGATTTTTCAAATGTATTTATCTTTCGCAGTTTTTGTATAGTGCTGTGGAAACACAAAACATGAATGAAAACTATATTTGTTGAAGCTTGCTAGCCAATGGTTCTCATGAGCAGAATTATTCTGCAGCGTTGTGACATACTTTGTAAGTTTGTGTGGATGTAGTACAGCCGTTAACATACATTATCTGATTTAATGACTTGTATTTTCAACCCAAGTTTCATTTTGTTGTACTGTATTGGCACTATTAAAATACAAAAGAGAGCGAGAGAGGGTAAGTGACGGAGAAAGGGGGGGGGGGGTTCACAAAAAGACCTTCAACCTCGCTGAACACAAAAGGCTCCTCACTTACTTGGGAACCCTTTTGTGTACTGCAGGTATGTAAAACAGACACAAATTGCCTTCTGTTCAACTTTTTAGGATTGCTGTGACAAGGGTGACATAAGAATTGACACAAAAATGTTTAAACTGCCTCTCCATATTTCACATTATGGAAAATAATGATTTCGAGCACAATTTGGACGTTTTCACTTTGGGGCATACTCCCAACCGTTTTGACATTCATGGTAGTCTGTTGAGTTATTTTTAGGGTCTAGGAAATGTACGCTGTTGAACAAGCTGGACACTGATGACATTGCAATTTTAACAAAGTCTAATTTCTTCAGTGTTGCACCATGAAAAGATGTAATAAAATATTTGAGATCTTTTGGCTTTTTGATTGTTCTTTCAGTTGGAGGATAAGCGTGCTGAAATGGAGAAAAAGCTTATCAGCATGAAGGTCCAGTACGAGTCACTTCAAGCGCAATATGTCTTTAACAAACACCAGTCGCAGCGTATGAAGGTACAGTACCATGTTTAATGTGACCGATTGAGACCAGTGCTCCTATCTGATATGCTTTGTGGATTCATGTATTTATTTCTTGATGTTCAAGGTTGTTTAGACCACTTACCTTAAGCATATTCACACACCATATTCTTTAACTGGAATAATTATAATCAAAGAAAAAAAGTTTGTCCTTTTTTTGGGTTACAGACTATTGGCCGTGGTTGTGCAACAGTTTCCCTCCCAAAACATCTAAGGTTAATATCTAGTGATCAGAAACAGGAAGAATTTCGTGTTCCCTTCCATGGCTGGTTTGTTAGAGAAACTCATTGTGATTTTCTTTAAAAATGCATTTCAAACTGGGGCTGCAGCCATTGAATATTTGGTATTCAGATATACTCCTGAAAATTCTATCTAATAATCTGGTATCGGGATAAAAATAAACAATATTTTTGCTTTGTAAGAGAACAATTATAAATGCAGTCGACAAAAACCACATTTCCATTTAATAATGAATGACCAATGCGTTTTCATTTTTAGAAAAGAACAATTATAAATGCAGAAGACAAAAACATTATCCGCACAAGGGTCGTGGGACGAGCCTATCCCAGCTGTCTTCGGGCAGTAGGCGGGGGACAGCCTGAACCGGTTATCAGCCAATCGCACGGCACACAGAGACGAACAACCATCCACGCTCACACTCGCACAATTGAGAGTGTTCAATCATGCATGTTTTTGGAATGTGGGAGGACACCGGAGCACCCGGAGAAAACCCACGCAGGCACGGGGAGAACATGCACACTCCACACAGGGAGGTCGGAGCTGGAATTGAACCTCTGTACTGTGAGGTCGAGGTGCTAACCACTGGGCCACCGGGCCGCCAGACAAAACCATATTTCCACTCAATCATGAATAACCAAATGGTTTTCATTTTTAGATCATTTTTACATTCTTACTTAAACTGTGCATAGCAGCACACTATTTTCCTTTCTAGAAACTAAATAAGTGTGGTTTTAGACAAACCTCCCCCCATAGATAATGGTTTATGAGACAAAGTGACACACATTAGCGATTTTTCCGACGAAAGCACCGCACTTGAGTAAGCCTGGTTTGTTCTATTATTTGCAGCAGGATGACCAGATCTACCTCGAGTGTTTAGGCCTTCATGATGTTGCAACATGAAGTTGATGAATTTTTGCAAAACACTGTTGCCGTGGCAGGTCACCAATAATAACAGCAAAAACAAACATTCATTTTGATGGTCTAAACATTCACGAAAGGTAATGAAACTTTGCACACACATCAGGCCAAGCAAAATAAGCAATATTTTATTAATTTATTGTGTGGTTTTAAGAAATGTCTCACAAGCGCACCCAACAAAATTTTAACAAAGCAGCCTTGGGTGGACATTTTACCAAGATGTATAAAAAGTTGAAGGCATAAGTAACAGCCCAAGAGCTACAAAAAAGTCTTTCAGGTTTATGGAGCATATATTTTTAAGAACTCCGAGAGATTGTTTCAAGTCGTCTTGAAAATGTGGGTGTTTCATCTAGCTCAAGATGAAATATAAAAGTAAATCTTTTTATTTCATCAAACGCTGTTGTTGTGTCGACACGCTGTTTACCATGAAAAATGTATCTGATTTGAATATTCTAAACATTGCGTGAAAACATAAAATTTTGCACATCAGGCCTGACAAAAAATATGTTGTTTAGAGGGTTATTGTGGGATTGTTTAAAAAAAAAAAAAAAGCCTCACTCGCATCCCCAACAAATATTTATCGAAGCAGCACCTGTTCTGATTTTCCTAGGTTTATGAAAATTGCGAGGCAAGTTGAACAACACAAACCTATGTAAACTGTCTCTGAAGTTGTACCCTGAACCTAACTTCCGCCATTTTAAATGTCCTTTCAAAATTAAACTTCAAAATTGGCTGTTTCATCTCAAGATATTGAAAGTGAAGTCACCTAAAGTATTTAATTTTGACAACCGCTGCTGCCGTTGTGACACACTGCTTGACGAAGTTGTTTTCAAACCTTAAAAATGCATAGAAATGCATGTTTTCCCCATCAGAAAATGTTGAAAAATGTGGCGTTTGTTTTGTACTACTGAATGCAGGAGAGGCCATTTAGCTTTCAAGCTCTGTATAAGTCGCATTTTGGGGGGAAATTTATGTGATAAAATCCAACCCCAAGAACAGACATGTCATCTTGAAAGGCAATTAAAAAAAAAAAAAAAAAGAAAATAGAAAACAACACGCTGAATAAGTGTAAAATATGCTAACGTTACATGACGCATAAATGACGAACTGAGAATGTGCCTGGCATGTTCAAGTAACATATTGAGTTATTCAGATAACTAAAGCATAAAGAACATGCTAACAAGTTTACCAAACCATAAATGTCACTCCAAATCACTAAATCCAATGGAACCTTCATCCTCTGTGTCACTTTAAAGCAACTCCACCAACTCCGGAGGTAGAAGATGGAGCGCTTCCCCTTCTACGTTGCTTATTACATCAGACTCATCGTGGTTTTATCAACCCAGGTCTAGAGTGGCCTCTTGTGGTTTAATGTGAAAATAATGTGAAATGATATAACGGGGGATTTGTGTGTCAGTGTGTGTGTTAATATTCTATATTTTTGTGTTCGTGTAAACTGCACCCTAAGCATCCTATCAGTTTCACTTTCACAAAAAAAGTATTTAAAAAAAAAAAGAAAAACCAGGTCACCTAACCTATGGTGGCACGTGACTTGCATCACCGGAAATTCTTAGCGGCCTGCAGTCTGCAATTGCAGCTTGCGATCACAGCTGTTGCGAAATATCTTTTTTTGTTTTGTTTTTTTTAAATTCTCATTCAAAGTTTGTATCATCTGCAATTCACCAATGGCAGTGCCAAAGAATGGGAATATGGAGCACCAAGAGAAGCATTTTGTAACGGTACATGTGAGCTATGATGGTGATGTTAATGCATTTTAACACACTGGAAAAGTGCTCCGACACGTCAGGTGTCCTACTGAGGTAGGCAGTGATTTCCTTTTCACAAACTCACAAACTCATCTGTCTATTTTTCTCTTTTGTTCATTGTTTGGGGCTGTTATGGCTGTTGGTCATCATAGCGAGTGTGCCTGCGTATGCGTGCATGTGAATGGGTGTGTGGATGCGTGCATGTGCGGTAAAAAGTCGATGGCAGGAGGTCGGTTGGCTTGAAAAGTAGATCTTCGCTCAAAAAAGGTTGGGTACCGCTGGTGTAAAGTTTTATAATTGTCTTCTTAAGCCTGCCTTTGGATGAATTAATAAAACCTGTAGAATTAGTGACAAACTTAAGTTGGCAACTGAACAGGGACACCCAACACTATCCCATGAAACTCACATTCCTGACAACTGTCTTAGTGCAACACACAAATGAAGTGAACAACTGAACCAAAGCTAGTTATTGTGAACATCGGAAAACATACGCATGGATGAAGTGGTTAAACGAGTGAATTAATGATGGTTATGTCCAAGGACTAATTTGATGCACTAAAAACGAACGGCAGTCGTACAAAACACACAGTGAAACACGTGAAACTGTACCTCGAAGTGGATTAACACTCCCGAAACCGACATTTGTGTGTGTATACACTTAAGTGGTGGGAGGACAAAAGAATTTGTGAAAAATTTGTTTCATTCAATCCATTTTTGTGACTAAATACCACAATTAACCCAAAGCATAATTTCATTGTCCATATGTTTTTCAGGTGCACATTGCCACCCTTATGCAGCTCCAATGCTCAAGGACTGACCCCTCTCAGCTGGACAGACTGCACTCTAATTTGGTAGAAAAGAATGACGAGATACAACATTTGAATGCAAAACTAGAGAGACTGGAGAAGATTGAGGTGAGTGTCAATCGACCTGGAAATTGTGCATGCACTGGCAAGGCATTGTTTCATAGCTGTGTGAATTTCACCCCCAAAAAAACAGTAACACTGGGGGAAAAAAAAATCTCTTTATTCAGTGATATACAAAATGTGTTTTTGCTGCAATGGTTTTGTCGCTATTGAATATTTTTTAGAATTTTTCTATCGACTTAACAATCAATTTATTCAATTTTCGGATAAAAAATTATTGAACATGACAATGTTTTGCAAAATCATGTTTAGGCGATTGCTGCGAGGTCCCTATTGTTTTTTAGAACCCATACATCTACAGTGAAACTCCTCTACAACGAAACCTACATGGGCGAAAATACCCCCCTAGTGTGAAAAAAATTTCATGCATGAACGCCATTCCCACTTTTCTGCTCCCCCTATGATGAAAAGTCCCCCTGTTCCATTATACGACATCTTTTTCTCTGCTCTTGCCTCGCAACGAGATTCACTACAACGAAAACAAGCCTTCCGCAAAAGTCTAATCCAACCTCAGCATGCCACAGCGACCTCTGTTGCTTCGTTCGGAAACGGCAACAGCAACCACCACACTGGTTTACACATGCGCAGTAGTCCAGGAAGTATTTGTGATTGTTAGTTTCAGACGCAGCACAAACGTTACATTGCTAAAATGGCTACGAAACGGACCTATGCAGACCAAGGAGTTAAGAAAAGAAAAGCATTCACGCTTGAAGACAGGATAAAAGCAATAAAAATGAAACATGGAGGAAGCAAAGTAAAAGACATTATGCAAGAAACCGATGTAAGTGAAAGTGAATGCTGATCGTAAATTTCGCAATTTCTTTCCCGTTTTTTTATCTACACTGGCTGTTTGAAGTGTCAAATAAGTGTATGCTCATATTTATGCATGACATATTGGAATAAAAATAATGAGTACACACATACGTTTTGTTTGTTTGTGTGTGTGTGTGTGTGCGTGTGCGTGTGCGTGTGTGTGTGTGTTTACATCTGAGATAAAATTTGCTACAGTGAAAAGCCCTGTCATTTCCAAAATTTCTTGCTGCAAACGTGATTTCGTTGTAGAGGAGTTTTAATGTATAAACGTATTTTCATCGTAGTGGTAGTGCCGCCTGTAGAATAGCGAAAAAAAAGATGTTTTAATCTTTGATGTTTTTTTCCTAGCGGGTGTACCAGATCTATCTCTATTTGTTTGGAAGAATGTTTAGGCTTTCATGATTTTGCTGTTACAACACTAATTTTAGAGCCTAAGCATGCACGAAAACTCATGAAACTTTGTAAATACAACAGGCATGGCAACAGCATCAATATTTTCTAATGTTATTGTGTGATATCAAAAAAAAAAATGCTCAGCAAATTTTCAAGGAAGCAGCCCCAATTGTATCCTTCACAAAGATCCACGAAAACTAGAAAGGTGGCATATGTCGTAGCTCAGGACCTAGAAATGACGCTGTATTTGATGGTCTACTCTAAACATTCATAAAAACATGAACTTTTGCACACACATCACGCCTGGCAAAAAAATATTTTATGAGTTTGTGTGGTTTTACAAAATGTCTCAGTAGCGCCCCCTAGAAAGTTAGGCGTATATTTAATAAGACAATGATATGTTTATTGTGGATCACAGTCATAACGGCCCTCCCAAGGAAACCCTAAGGCGTAGAAAAAAAAGTAGTGTGTTTCCAGTAACATGAAATTTCAGCATAGGGTTGGTAGGTCGGACAAAGTTTTTTTTTTTTTAATTCTTTTTTTTTTTTTTTTTTTTTTTCCCTTCAAAAATGTAAACAAAATAAAAATAAAACATAAAACAAGGAGACATTGAAACCCCCGCTCGTCGCCAAAGGCGGCGAGAGAGTTGGGTACCCGGCGGCTGGGTGTTAGAGCCATCTCGTTACCTCTGCGTCCCCCGTCCTAGACGCATAATTTTCCCACGGGACACACAGTTCCAAATAATGTGCGTTTTTGGGACGCAAGGAAATTTCTCAGTCAAAACAAACAAACAAAAAAACAAAACTATGGCAAGCCTGAGGTTTTCACGGTAACAATAGTTACCGGTAGCGTGTCATTTCCGTGGCGTCATTTTAACGGTACCAAAAAATAGTTTAACCATTAAAGTCACCGCACACGACTTGACTGTGTGATCAACGCGATTTCACTGTGCCTCGATGTGTGTTTGTGGTGTGGTGTGTGAGTGTGTTTCTTCTAATTTACTTTCGTTTTGTTTTGTTTTCAGTGTTGGGGGGGACGCAACAGATAACGTTATGTGCGCATGCGGGTTGCTATTGTAGTCCGCAAACTGAGGAATCGCGCGGATGAAAGTTTGAGATGGCGGCGAAAAAAACTCACAAAGGTCTACTAATTACAACATTTAAGAAATGGGAATGCCAGTCTGATTTTTCGTATGAATCGTCCAAAGGGCGTATCACTAAACTCACCTGGGATGTATGCACAGAACAGAGAGCGAGATACGACGAGATGCACGATTACGAGGCAAGTTGGTCATTAGATTTGTAGGCTAATCGCTATGAAAAATATGAAACAGTATTGGTTATTCTATAATTTACTGGTTGTAGCATGGTACCTTTATGAATAAAGCATTCGTCACAAGGTGTAGTAATGCTAATGTTAACTGTTGGTAGAACTAATGATGACGTGTGTTAAATTTGAAGGTTGTTTGAAAAAAAAATGCCGACCATAAAGTTTTTTTCGAGACTCGGTTGGTCGGGTTACCGGAAACACACTACTTTTTTTTCCTACGCCGAACTACAATGTGGCCAGCGACAAAAATTATTTTTGACACCCCAGCTCCTAAATGGACAGAAAGTGACCCTTAAGTATTTGAGTGGACAATTATGTTTCAATTTTGCACATTTACAAGATCATACTTGCGCCCCTGTCCCCAACAGTTAACCTTCAAACTTGGGCTGTACCATCCCAACACTTGAGACAACAACGGGGAAAAGAATCTAAAGTTTTTCAAGATACTATATTTCGGCAGGTGGGCATCATATTATGGCTTGAATGCTAAACTTAAATGAAAGTCCACCATTTTTAATTTTCTTTCAACTTCCTCCTAGAGATTTAAACCAGTTATCTTCAAACAGTGAGTTTTTCATCTTAAGATGACAAGTAAAAAGCATCACACCCTGTTGCTGTGGCAATGCACTCTTTGCCAAGAAAAAGCAATCGGTCTTTACATTGGAGAAAACACGTCTGGCAAAATTGTAAAATAATCACACTATTATTTGCTTTTGTGTTTTTGTTTGTTTTTTTTTTATGGCTTAGTTGCGCTCGTTACAATTGTTTAAGGTGACGGAAAAATTGCAATTACACATGCGATGGTTAATGTGTCAATTTGGAAGTTGTTTAATTTGCATGAGAATTTGGATAAAAGTGCAGAGACAGCTTCTTTATTCCTTATTGTCCATGAAATGCAGAGCTGCTTGTATACTATTAAGATGAAAAATTAAACTTGTATGTTTGTATGCAGGTATTGCTTAAGACCAAGGGGAGCAATATCCCTCCATCAGAAATTGGTAATGGCCACGATGAAACGTTTTATACTGACCTGCTGAAAATGAAACTTGACAATGCAATGTGAGTTGATGTTTTATTAATGGGGATGTAAATATGACATGTATGAAGCCAACCAGTGCCCAGTTCGGGATGGATCTAAAATGCACTGTCACCTCACAAGTGAAGCTCATTTGGCCTGTACATTCACAATGGCATCTTTGTCATATGATGTCAAAATGTGAACAGCATGATGAAGAGGGATGTTGAAATACTAATTCGAATTGAACCAGAATTATGCATTCATGGCTGAAACGGCCTTTATGAATTTTGCTGTTCAATTTCTTGTAAGAATACGGCAAGTTGTGCAAAAAGTGCTGAAACCCTGAACAGCTGCACATGTGCATTCAATTTTTTAGGGAATGTCATATTACATTCACCTTTATATTAAAGTGCATTTAAGGTTCGTCCTGAAATTTTGCTCAAAGCCTATTTTCCCTGACTTTTTGTGAGTGCTGAGTTTACTTATTTTTTTGCCGGGTTACTTTGTACTGTGTGTGTGTGTGTGTGTGTGTGTGTGTGTGTGTGTGTGTGTGTGTGTGTGTGTGTGTGTGCGCGTGCGTGTGTGCGCGTGCGTGCGTGCGTATGCATTCTTTTACATGTGCAGTAAGGATGTGGAACGTTTAGGAGAAGAACTTTCTCAGCAAAGGATGAAGTCTTTGTTCGAAAGCCAGAAAGCTCTGGAACTAGAGAGAAAACTCTTCACAAAAGAACGTCTTCTCAAACAGGTACGAAGCTTCACTGTTAGTGGATGAATTACCCTTTGGTTTCTAAGACACCACTAAAGGATGGGCAACACATCATTTTCTCTGTCAGTTTCATCCTCCTCTTTGCGTACGTGTAAGACATTGATTCGGACTTCGGGGAAAAAAAGGATAGTGAACATTATTGAGAATGTTATTTTTCCTGTTTGATCAAGTGAAATTTGCTTTCAACAGACAAAGAGCAGCTAATTTTTCCACACTCATTCGAGCTAAATTGGATGAATTGAGCTGGTCCAGATTCTACCGTGAACATGTCCATTGCCAATGTTGCGACCCCTGAAAAGAATTGTATCCCCTGCTGCAAGAGCACACACGCATTGAGTTAAAGTGGTACGATAATAATGTCGCTGGGATCTGGGACACTTCACGACCATGATGACGAAAACTGGGATGCCAGAATTTTTACTCATCTTGGCGCATAGCGTGACATTCCCTATATCGTGCTCTGATTGTTCCCCGGCATTGACCAATAGTAAGATGGAGCGGAGTGCCCATAACTCACTCCCAAATACCTCACAGGACACAAATGTGGGTCCAGACAGCTGTTGTGCCAATGTAGTTGCCCCCGATAAAAATGGTCTCAACTCTTGCCGGGGCACGCGAGTGAAAACGGTGCACTTGTTTTCATTTAAAGACAAACAGTAGCTAATTGTTCTCCACTCATTTGAGATATATTCATTTAAAGACTTGAACACATTTTTGTGCTTTGATTTTTAGTTTTACGGAAAAAGAGTATATATAAGAAAAAGAAAAAAAATGTGTTTGCATTCAACGATAAATTGCAGTGTGGAGAAGCAAAAGAAAAACATGTACATCAGTCATATTTGCCAGTAGTGTTGAGGTGCGTTCAATGACCACTTACACAGTAGGACGTCTCAGATAATAGAAAAACTCATTCAATGCATCAAACAGCAATGACTAGCACATGCAGGAGGTACAGTCATACCTCGGTTTTCGACCATAATCCGTTCCAGAAGGCTGTTCGAAAACCGAATTGTTCGAAAACCGAAACCATGTTTCCCATTAGAATCAATGTAAAAAATTTTAATCCGTTCCAAGTCTAGAAAACAACTTTTTTAAAAGCATTTTTTTCCCAACTATTTTACACCATAAACTTTAAACAGGTGTAATAAGAGAGCGGGTAACAACAAACTACAAACGTTTTGTATGTTTTATTTTAACCAATTTTAACATAAACATTGACATTGTGACATAAAAATTGAACATCTCTCTCTCTCTCTCTCTCCCTCTCTCCCCCATTGTGACAATTGTAGATTGCATTCTTTTACACCTTGAATTTATAAACCCCTAAGTAATGGCTGTAACTATGGATGCTCTGTCTGCAATCCTACACTATGGTACGAGGTAATATCCCTCCATCCACTTTCTGAACTGCTTTATCCACACAAGTCCAGTCTCGTCCATATGAAAGGTTTGCTGGGGAAGACATTCCTCGGCCTCGATGAGATTTTCAAACTCAGATTTAAACTTTTTGGCAGCTTCCTTGTCTGAAATGGCTGCCTCCCCATGACGAATCACTTCTTTTCCTCATTTTTTCGAACCATCCTCTGCTTGCTTTAAAATCAAATTCTTCAGGAGCAATACTAGGATCCTTTTTTTTATCAAATCTCCATACAATTGTCTTGTTTTGCCACAAATCGTACCTTGGCTAAGACTGTCCCCTGCTAGATGTTTCTCATTTATGAAAATAAGCAAACGTTTCTCCACTTCCTCTATTTGTGGCCTTTGTTCACTGAACACACGAGATCCTTTCGCCACATCACTGACTTTATGATGGTCTTTCTTTGTTAGGAAGCTGCTGATTCCAGCATGCCGAACTCCTTAGCCAACACAGACACGTGCACACCTGATTCATATTTCACTATCAAATCTTTCTTAAATTCAATAGTTTTGCGCACTATTTTCCTCTTTTTTCAGCAGCTTTACTACTTCCACTTGCTTTCTTTGGTGCCATGCAGAAATAACAGTCCAATTTGCGTCGATCTCAACAAACACGTCTGCTTTTTTCAAAATCTTTATTGAACACGTCTGCTCACAATGGACGCTTTTTTTTTTTTTATCTTTGACCACGTCTGCTCACAATGGACACTTTTTTTTTTATCTTTGAACACGTCTGCTCACAATGGACGCTCTTTCTTTTTTAAAAAAAAAATCTTTATTGAACACGTCTGCTCACAACAGAGGCATTACTTCTTCGTCAACCCGAGGAAGTGTCACTTCCTCGTGTAAGGAAGTCGAGAGAAGTCGAGTGACGCATTCAAGTGCCCTCAGTTTGGTCGAGAACCAAATTTCGGTCGTAATCTGAGGCATAAAAAAACGCTAAATTTTTGGTCGAAAACCGATTTGGTCGAGAACAGAGACGTTCGAAAACCGAGGTTTGACTGTACTTGGAAAGATTTTATAATTTGTATGACAGATCAATAATTTCTGGCACAGACGAACAAATTGAGTTGACATAGTTGCGTGTCAATTCAAGTGTTTCATTCAAGCATCTATACATCCATCCATCCATTTTTCTGATCTGCTTAAGTGGTCATGGGTCGTGCTGGAACCTTTCCCAGCTGTCTTCGGGCAGTTGGCGGGGTACACCCTGAAGTGGTTGCCAGCCAATTGCACATTAAAGCACAGATGACAAATGAAAATAAAACTACCATAGTGAGTCTGAGTATTATTGTTTTCCAGTGTTTGCTTCCTGAAGTTTAAATATAGTGTTGTGTAAAAGTACAGTATTTGCCCCTTTCCTTATTTCTGTGTTCTTGCATATTTATCACACAAGGTTTCAGTTTAACAAACCAATTTTAATATCACACTGACTCCCCAAGAAAATTCTAAATGCAGTTTTGAAATATCAATTTAATTTATTAAGGCACAAAAAAAAAAATCCAGAATTACCTGTCCTAAAGTGAAAAAGTAATTGCCCCCACGCTCATCCCTTGTTTTACGCCCCTGACTTTGAAGATGACTGACTAACTCTTTTAATTTTGTCCGATATGTGACTAGCCCAACACATGAACAAAAACATACCGTATTTTCGGCACGATAGGGCGCACCAAAAAGTCTTCAATTTTCTTAAAAGCTCACCGAGCGCCTTAAAATCCGTTGCGTCTTTTGTATGGTCATTACGGTAATACATCGACTCCAAGATGGCTCCTTCCTGGAGACATGCTTGCAATGTTATAACTTGCTGTTGGTTCAGTGAACTGTGTCGCTGCTTTATTAAATAAGTTTTTGTTGCAGCTCCGAAAAAGGGAGAGCTGTGGTATTCATTTTTTAAAACGGTCTCAACAAATACAGGTACGTCTTTGTCTGTCGACGTGCCTTCTTCCGTTCGACTCGAGAGGTGTTCAAGACCGCCTCCGAAAAACATAAACTGATGATTACTTCAATGAAACTACGAAAATTGAAAATAATACATCAAAACTGAAAAGCAAGCGAGGATATCACAAAATAAATTCTATAGCCACCCCTACAGAATTTATATTGTGATTTCATCATTTGTGAATATACAACAAAGGAATACATAACTACTACTGACATCTGATCGTAGTAGTCGTGGCGCTATGATCAAGGAAATGCCAATGCGTTTTTCGGAGGCGGTCATGAACGTCTCTCGAGTTGAACATAATAAGAGAAGGCACGGAGACGGACAAAGACTCACCTGTATTTGTTGAAAAAAAGAGAGCTGTGTTTTGTTTTTTTTTAACGCAGACTTTATTAATGGTTTTCACAGTCTCAACAAATACAGGTACTTGTACGTCTTTGTCCGTCTCCGTGCCTTCTTCCGTTCCACTCGAGAGGCGTTCATGGCCGCCTCCGAAAAACGTAAATTAATTATTACTTCAATGAAACCACAAAGAAAATGAAGCGAGGAAATCACAAAATAAATTCTGTAGGGGGTTATAGAATTTATTTTGTGTTTTCCTCGCTTGATTTTCTGTTTTGATGCATTATTTTAGAGTAATAGTTAATTTACATTTTTCAGAGGCGGTCATGAACGCCTCTCAAGTTGAACGGACGCCTCTCGAGTTGAATGGAAGGAGCGTAGCACCATCTAGTGGAGGCATTGTAGATTGCGCCTTATAATGTGAAGCGTCCAATGTATGAAAAAAATTTACAAAATAGCCATTCATTGAAGGTGCGCCTCATCATCCAGTGCGTCTTTTAGTGCGGAAAATACGGTACTTTAGACCAAATTCATGCGTATGTTCGACCGCTGTCAAACTTGGAAGTCTTGGACAATGTGATTTCTGATCACATGACAGTTTTATTTGATGTCGTTTTATCGCGTGCTGCTGTAAAATCTGCCCATCCGGAGTGCGACCATCGAGTGTTTCACCCTCTTTCTGCTGGTCAGTTCTCTGATATCTTTAAATAACCTTTGCGTGCCCTCTTCAAACACAGAGGAACTCACCTCTTCGTTCCCCTCATCCTGCCATGCTCAACCAGATCCGATGGCTCCATTAATAACTGTGCTGCCAAAACCTAGACCTGAGCCTAGGCTTAATGACAGAACTCGCGCAGCGAAGCAGGAGTGCCGTAATAAGTAGAAAAAAGACAAGCTGTAGGACTCTTATCAAATCTGGAAAGACTGCTGGCGTAACGACCAGACCTCCCCAAATGACAGTGTTGAACGCCTTCTACAAGTCCACAAAACAGATTTAGCCATTTTGGGCCAACTCCCATGCACACTCAAGGACCCTGTTAAGCATATGTGTCAAACTCAAGGCGCGGGGCCGGATCCGGCCCGCCAGGTCATTTTATGTGACCCGCGAAAGCAAATCATGTGTGTCAACTTGCTAAAGTCGGCATCGAAATGTCAAATTGTCATGTGTAATAAATAACGTTGAGATTTTGAGATCATTTTGTTACCGTTTACCTTCTTCACTTGAACAAACTATTTTAATCGACTTGACTGATTTCAAAACTAACAATCTATTAATTTGTTGTGTAAAAATAATAATTTTGCTATCATAACGGCCCTCCGAGGGAAGATGTAACTCCAAATTGGCCTGCGACTAAAATGAGTTTGACTCCCCTGCTGTAGAGGGTCGAGAGCTAGTTCACTGTTCCACGGCCAGCACGTAAACCACACTGCTTCTCCTGAATCTGAGATTCGACCTACCGATGGACCCTCTTCTCCAGCACCCACAATAGACTTTACCAAGGGAGCATGAGGAGTGTGATTCCTCTGTAGTGCGAACACACCGTCCGGTCCCCATTCCTAAAAGGGGGACCACCACCCCACTCTCAGTCCAGAGGCATTGTCCCTGATGTCCATGAAGTGTTGCAAGGGCATGTCAACCAAAACATCCAGAGCCCTTAGGAACTCTGGGCGGGTCTCATCCAACCCCGGGCTTTGCCACCCAGGTGCCCTGTGGTATTTGTTGGAAACATTATTACATGCTAATATCTGACTGCTTGAAACACATGGATGGGTACTACTGTATGCGAAGGCTATGTTCAAGCTTGTGAAATTTATGTCCCTGGTCCAGTAACACAAATTGAAAGATTTTGAGTTTTGATCAGACATTCGAACCTGGATTAGTTGGCATTCATAGAGTTACACGCACACACCAAAAATGATAACAACGCATTTTTGTTTCTTCCATAAAAATGCCTTTGATTGATTCTATATTTCCGTTTGCTTCTTGTAGACCCAGTGCGATAAAATGAGACTACAGCTTCAAGTGGAAAAGCTACAACACAAATATGAACCTAAAAGTAATTGGAGAGATTAAAAAATATTTTCAATCTGTATTTAAATGTGATCTTTGAATATATTATATTAAACATCACTGCTTTATATAATTTGGTCTGTAGAGGCAACTGATTTATCCCAGCCGACCAAGAAAGAGAAATTACCTGTGGATACCGTACCATCATATGGAGGAACTACACTTGATAAGGAGAAGCAAATTTCAAAGCAAACAGACATCACTCATGAGATGCTACACCGTGAAACAGATAAACGCCCCACTGGTGAGACAACATTCCCAAGACAAGGTATTTTTGCTCTGCTGCTGTTTAATGTCATTGCAACATACAATAAGTTATTCTTGATTTGTTTTAGGATTTGACATGGAGCCTAAATCAGTCAAGCGAGTGAAGATCGATAGGGATGATCCTGTTTTGATCACCAATCCCAGGTTAGCAATTGTCGTGTGAACGGTAGTATTCATAAAAGGAAAAGAAAGGTTCTAGTATTACGCGCCAATCTACCCACTTCAGAATTTTAGAATAAAAATCCTTATTTGCTGTCATTCTGTTCAGGGCTTGGTTCCATTTATAGACAGTTACAGTTTACAGTATTTATTTCAGTCAACTCTGAGTTCTGTAACACTGTATTACGAAGGAATGCAATTTTTCTGGGATCCTCAGTCTTATTTTACTTTATTATGCTGATTATGAAGTGAACATTGGTTCGTACATTAGATGCTGTATATACAGTACAGTGGTACCTCTACTTATGAAATTAATATGTTTTGGAAGAAATTTCTTAACTAGAACATTTTGTAAGTAGAGATGCATTTTCTATATAACCCGTTCCAAGCCACCCCTCAATTCAGACAAATGTTTTCTGAAACATAAAATGAAACAAAATATGTAACAAATGCATATTACAATTAGATCATTGCACAATAAATGAGTTGTGCATAATGTAAAAAACAAAAGTATAAAAGTAACGTCATTTAACTTTTAACTGCGACCTCATCGTTTTTTGCCCTCTTCAGTTCATGTTCTCTCTCAGTAGTGGTTTTTGTCTGGCGTTTTGTAAAGAACTGATCCAAGGACGTTTGCTTTTTTTTGGTTTTTAACAATCCTTCAAAAATGTCCAAGGCAAACCTCACCATAGTGAGCAATCGCCCGACTGGTGAACACTTATTCTGGGTGATTTTCATTGACTATCAGAACATCTCATGGCCCGAGGGGCGAATGACGAGGATGCTGCATAGACAGAAATCTATCTATTTATCTATCTACACACACAGACACATACGGTCGAGGTCCCTCTTAGCCAATGGGATGCCAGTATGGTGCTCACATCAGGACATCTGCACAATTGCACACTTCTTGTACTACAAATACTGCTACTGGTCACTTTAAAATGGTTCAATGATTTTCTGCACCAACTGTACAACTGTTATAGTATTGTATTCTACCACTGATCACTTTAGCTCTGCTTGATACTTTGCACATTGTCTCACAGTTGTCACTGGGTGGTAACACCGCACTACGGTTCACTTACATTGCGAAATGTCCTTCCATACTTATTTTTCCATACTTATTTGTCATGTCCTTGTTAATGATGATATTAATGCAGCGTGGTATACCGGAGACAAATTCCTTGTGTGTTCTACATACTTGGCCAATAAAGATGATTCTGATTCTGATCTGATTCTGATTCGGTAATAGCCAATGGCAGTGCAGTTATAAGTATGTTGCGTTCAGGAAACTCGGAGCTGCGACTCGCAGCCCATATTGTATTTTTACCTTTCGTATTTTGAAATTTCTTTCGTAACAAGGGGCAATAATTTCCTGTTGAGGCATTTTGTAATTTGAAAATTTTGTATGAAGAGATGTTCGTAAATAGAGGTAGCACTGTATACAGCTTTTTTTTCCCCCACACACAACACAGAACCAGCCCATACAAACAGACCTGCAAGGAGAGTTGTTGATGATGGAGCAATGCAAGTGACATTGCGTCCCGTGAGCAAGATTTAGGGATTCAGAGTGTTCCTCAAGAAGTCATAGACTCATTGGACTGTATTTTTTTTTTCTTCCTCAGCTCTCATGTCACCCGCCCCAATGTGCTGATAAAGGAGGACCACCAAAAGCAGGATGAAACCGAGGAAAGTAAAGAGGGGGACCACCACAAGCCAGAAGAAACGGAAGAACGTGGCAAAAAGCAAAATTTTGAGATCATGCATGTCCGTGCTGAAAACAGTATGGCATCCCAGTGTTCTCAACAGTAGTGTCCTTGTAGAATACATGCACACATGATCAACACTGATATATAGATGCAGTCGAATTAACATTTTTTATTGTCTCTTTTTACAAAGATAGTTGTGCCGCCACAGTTGCAAAATGCAAATAAAAGCCGAACAGTCTCTCGATATGAAGCAGTACAGCTGCTGTAGATAATAAATGTACTTTTAAATTATTACATCTCTGACACCATCAGTCAAATGTGCAATGTAATTTGTGATGCTCTTGTTGTTTATAGAGTGCACTCACCAAAAACACTTCAGCATACAGTGTACAATTTCTGCGAAAATTTGGATTTTGGTCGTTGTTTGAAATTGAGATTTAAACCTCATATATTGTACTTATTTTGGTTGTGTCCTTTTTTTTGGTTACAGCAACCACTGTATAATACACCTGCATTAACAGTCAACAGAAAAATGTGGCCTTTTCTTTCCAGTCTATTAATTGAAAAAAATAAAGATGTCTTTTTGTTCTGTAGTTGGGTAAATTTTTTAAAAAGCTGTGTATTCAGGAAGCCTGAAAGACTGCTAGTGGGCCCGCTAGCAATCCACAAGCCCACAAGCTGGCTCATTGACCGGGGCTGTCACCCTGCCACCCCCTTGCTCTGTGCGCCAGGCGTGGGTCCACACAACAGACACTGTAGCCCGAAGAACACAAAATTCATCACACTTATAGGAAGATGTCATCTATTTATTTATTTTCATATCTTGCATGTTGCTGTGGTAGAAATGGACTAAGTTATTCATACTGAGTGCCTTGCAATTACGGCGGATCACTACTCATGAAATGAACATGCTAAAAATCCCAAATTGGTTTTCACCATGCCCCCAAAAATCTGGACAACCGAATTTAATCCTACAGCTACTGTACTAAATTGTTCGCAGATTTTGCACATATTTTTAGGACTTGCCTTCAAAAATATTTCATGTATTGGAAATCTCTTTACATTGATCTTTAAAGATATGACTATTTATATTACAGGATGAAGATAAGGGAGCTCGTCCAAACAACCTACGTAATTTTAAGCTCTTTTCACTGGCTGAATCATTAATCTCAGTATCACGCACAAACACACAAAATTCCAACGCATTTGGGACATTGTGTCAAACAAATAAAAACAGAATAAAATGATTTGCAAATCATATTCAATCTATATTTAATTGAATATACTACAAAAACAACATATTTAATGTTCAAACTGATAAACTTGATTGTTTTCAGCAAATAATCATTAGTAGCTGCGACATGTTCCAAAAAAGCAGGGACAGGTGGCAAAAAAAGACTGAGACAGTTGAGGGATGCTCATCAAACACCTGTTTGGAACATCCCACATGTGAGCAGCCTAACTGGGAACAGGTGGGTGCCATGATTGATTCAAAAGAAAGTCATTCACAAGCACAGATGGACCGAGGTTGACCTCTTTGTGACTAACTGCGCGAGAAACTTGTCAACCAGTTTTAAGCACAATGTTCCTCAATGTACTCTTGCTAGGAATTTAGGCATTTCATCATCTACGCTCCATAATACTGTATCAGCAAAAGTTTCAGAGAATTGGGAGAAATGCCCATCTAAGTGTCAAGGCCGAAATTGAATGCCCATGACCTTTAATCTCCAACGTGGCATTAATCGAAAACCAATATCAATGCGCAAAGGATATCACCACACGCTCAGGAACACTTGAGAAAAGCAATGTCAGTCAATACAGTTGGGCGCCACATCCATAAGTGCAATTTAAAACTCTACTATGCAGATAAAGCCATTTATCAACAACACCCAGAAACGCCACCGGTTTCTCTGGGCCTGACCTCATCTCAGATGGACTAATACAAAGTGTTCTGTGGACTGACAAGTCCACATATTGAATTGTTTTCTGAAAATTTGGAGGACGTGTCCTCCAGGCCAAAGAAGAAAAGAAACATCCGGGCGCAAAGTTCAAAAGCCAGCATTCTATGCTGCCATCCAAACATCTTGTTCATAAACACCTCTGCTTATTTCACGGTCCAAGACAATGCAAAACCACATTCCGCACGTGTTCCAACAGCATGGCTTAGTTGTATACAAATGGGGGGTACTAGACTGGCCTGCCTCCAGACCTGTCTCCCATTTAAAATGTGTGGCGCGTTAGGAATGTAAAATATGACAACTGAGACCCTGAACTGTTGAACAGCTGAATCTGTACATCTTGCAAGAATGGGAAAGAATTCCACAAACAAAGTGTCAGCAAACAGTGTCCTCAGTTCCCAAACATTTATTGAATGTTATTAAAGGCTTTATTTTGTTGTACGCTATGTCCTTGCTTGAACATGCCGACAGGGGGGGGACATGTCATGGGACCCACGAAGGTGCTGGCAGCCAAAGAGGGAGACGGCATTACGAAGTCGCTCTTTTTTTTTTTTTTTTGTCAGAGAACGTGTCTGTTGTCAAAATGCAGCACAGACCCATCCTCGTGCTGGTGGAGGAGGTCAAACCTGACAAAGACCGGTGTGTGGTGGACCTGGAGCGCAGGGTGGAGAAGTTGGACCACCCACCACTCCAGGATCAATGGTTTGATCGTGACCGGGCTCCAAACCAAATCCCATATAAAACAGATAAAACAAATTTGGTGGAGGAGTAGATATTTATGTGAACTATAATTTGGAAGTTAAGGTGGTGCAAGCTATGACACAGGTGGTTGGGTATCTCCTTGATTCTATTACCCTGCAGCTGTCCTTGGTTAATAAGACAAATGTTTTTGCTAGCTTGTGGCGGACACTAGGACGATGCTTCTCACCCAGCAGGCATGTAGTAGGGGGCATGGTTATGTCAAGGATTGTGGCACAAGTTGTAACTGTTGAGATCCACTTGTTGGCAGTCTTGGAATAAAGACGTGTTCTACAGCCTATCTTGTGTGCTCCTTTCGACTGCCACATTGGTGACCCTGACGTTAAAATGTTTCGGTTAACGGATGGAGAGGTGTCTTCCTCGGCCACGTCGCCCCAACTCCCGCAACTTGCAGCCGCCGCCTCCGA